TCGGAATTCATCTTCGACCAACGGGCGACTTGAATACTGATAACGCGTTTTGATGGTGTGCACCTATTGAAGGAAATCCTGAATTCAACCCCGCAAGTAGAAAACATCGACAAGAATGTAAATCGACGTTGTCCAAACAGTGGCTCTCGTCCTGGGTAAAGAGCACGTGACAATGTTGCACGGCTGTAGGTAGAAAATTTTACCATCCCTGACATTTGGCAAAACCCAGAGTGGCGCAGGGGCAATGCGCAGCATGTGCGTGTATCGAGTGTTTACGAACACGTGGGGAACGCACAAAGACCCACGGGAACAATAACTTTTGCCACGAATGGCAGCATAAATCTCCTGCGAGGGTGAGGAGGCGAACTCTGGTTTACGAACTCGACGCAGACACGCATTAATCCTGACTTCATTTATGGTTCCACGTAGTCGAACACGATGTGTTTGGCATATGCAAGATTCTTGTCGATTGAACATCACCGTGAAAAATTCTGTTCGTGAAAAGGAACAGAAAATGAATTACATTATTTCTCTTTTGTATACTTTATCTGAATAACTGAATACGTCGTATAGATACATGCTTTGTGGAAACGTTACGTAAATTGAAATGAAAACCGCACGCCTATGTGCTTAATTGATTGGAAGCGGGTATTTTTTTTATCATCATTAACATTGAAGTGAGAAAGGATTGAAGAAGCCAATGGAAGGAATTCTCGATGACGCTCATCAGCGTCACATTATTTTCCTAGACAAAGACAAATCGCTTGCTACTTTCCACGGAAACGTACCATTCTGATCTATAGCGAAGATCGTTGGCTCGGCAAACACGGGCTTTTAAAAGGACTATCCAACGAACAATGTTCCGGCATCTGGATCCTTATCATCGTCCGCAAATTCAAAAAGAAAGCTGCTTGCAGGGAACGCTGAACAAAGGATCCGGAACAGATTCTCGACGCCTCTTGGAAGACCGCATAATGATACCCGCTTCGCATAAAGAAGCCAGCTTTTCAAACGGCTGTGAAAGCCCGGAATATACCGAGTTTCTGTCATACATTTGTAAACATAAATTATGATTCGCTTCGTATCAGCATGGAATTTTCGCCTGTATCGAAGCGAACCAGAGGCGATTCATATTTTCATTAAATGTGATGGCACAAAGTTTTATACTAAAAAATGTGAATCAGAGAAATTCAGTACATCTGATTTGTCCGAGATTTATACTTAAAAGACTCTAGTTGGTAATAAATGGTCCATAATAATGTTTGCCATGTATGTGGGCCATTCGACAAGGAGATACCGGAGTCCGTTCCTATTCTTTGCGCCAAATTATAATATCCTCGTTTACTTGCAATGTTCCGTGAACTCTTTCCAAGAAACAGGTACGTGAGAAAGGATATACAAACCATTCTGACGTATCTCTTTCACTGCTTTAGATTTTCTATCTTACGATCAAAAGAGTGCATTGTCCTTTTTTAAATTTAGTGAGCGTAAATATAGTGAAAAGATCATTTTTTGCTGTATTTACAAGTCAATGTCAATTAAATTGCGTTCACATCGACCGACAGCATTATCTGCATTTCTTTGAGAGTTTTCAAACTTATTTCATGTGTATTAGACGCAAGATTGAGTTAGCGGAAATGCGTACGCGAGAAAGGTGGTCGAGCAGTCGTCAGTGTCAGCCTGTTGATCGGCTTCTTCTCTTTCTTTCTTCAGAGTCGACTTCCTGCCATGTTGCTCGGCACGGGATCGGCCTCGGTCGTCCTTGCCCCTTCTGCTAGGCAGCACTCCATTACCATCTACTAGCTGACACGAAAACATCAACTCCTTAGACGAATTAGAAAGGTTCTCTTGCATGCCACTGCCTGCTCCTATCTCTTTCTGTCTCTCCTCTCGTTTCCTGAGTGCGTTGTCGAAGCGTAGGAGGGAAAGTTACCAGGATCCCCTCAATATACCCGTGTCCGCATTTTAAAGGGAAATTACTCAAACGATCAACGTCTGTTCACAAAAAAGAGTCGAAGAAAAAATACTTATACTATTTTGCGTTCACTACGAATTATAGAATACGCGACTATATATACTATATAATTTGTAAAAAGCTAATACAAAAAAGGATAGCGTTGAATTTTGAAAAAAGCGGTGCAACAATAAATTACGAAGATACCGAATGAGTCTCTTGATTGTGTCTTTGTATCTAATCGCGTGGCGAACTTTTATCGTTGGATGAGAGCGAAAAATGTATTACCAGACGAATATGAATTTAGGAAGAAAAAAAAACTATGATAAGATAATTGATAGGTGATTAGATTATTCAATTTCAATTAGCTAGTTTCCTCTGATGAGAACAAAAAAATATAATATATTATATATCACGTATGTAAAAATGCATCGAGCTAAAGATAGTCTCACTGCCTCGATTACCTCGATGATTTCAGGTAGTAAAGCTAATCGTCGTTACGAACAGACGTCACCGGTTGTTACTTAGAGGTATTAATGGATTCGAATGCCCGTGAAATCGATGGTCGGGAAGGAAACGGCGCGGCGCGGCGCGTTTCAATCGCTCGAGCCGATGATACAGTGCACGCCGCGCTGCAGCGTTCCGCACAGGATCATCGATTACAATTGGTATCCTAGAAAACTGGTTGTATGCGTAGATTACTCGCCGCGTGATGAATCAGCCCGCGCATCATCATCGAAGCGTACACTGTACAAACGTGTAAATCGTCCGGCCTTTGAAGCATCGGCTTGTCGATGGACTTTTGTTCGTTCGGAGGGTCTTGCCTTGTCAGAATGATTCCCACCGTGTACGTATTTACTATCGTCGGCGTAACTTTCTCGAAAACCCTTCGTGCGTGCTCCTCCACGCGATACGCGCCGCATGTCCGGTTGGCTCGTAATGCTTCGTCGCTTTCGAGATAAATTCGACCTCGTGTAACTTTTGCCTTACAATCTTCTACTCTTGTTACCTATCCTCTATCTTTTTTAAATGAATCAGAGAGATTTGCTTGGAACGTTTGATTTTTTACATATTTGTTATCTGGTGGAAGAGAAGAAATTGACTACCTGAAATTGTAATATTCAGTTTATAACTGCACTAAAACAGTAGAGGTAGAGGGCTGACAAGGTTCATTAACTGGCTGAGTATTTATAGAGTGTACATAATTCACGTTTAATTGAAACTGAATATTTCCAAGAAAAACCAGCGATCTCGTTCGGGATGGGTGGTCAACGCTTACAATTATAAGGCCTTAGATAAGTCGAAGGAAACCAGCTTTTGCCACCGAAAGTCTATTAAGCAGCGCAAACTCGCTCCTCCGCTATCTGTAACCTACTTGAATCAGGTATTACCAGATGCAGTGGACGCATCGTTCGGACGTATTTTACAAATCAATTTAATTCAGACGGATATATTATCTCAACGGTATGCATTAATTGCGTCAGACGGGCTCATCGGAAGCGACGGATAACTCGATTAAGAAACTCGTCCGCGGCCTTTCGCAAGATCCTGTTAAGAAACGCGTCCGAGGAATTTCTCGTCCGACCGGTCAAATTTCTTAATAACGTCTATGTAGATGGATACGTAGATGTCAAGCGGACAGAATAGAAATTATTCGAAGCACGAACCTCCGCTTCATTTGGCACGCTCGGTTCCGTCATCTTAGAAAGGAGACGAGCAACGAGGTTTCATTAATTCAATCTCCGTTCTGTTTCCAATTCCGCGATGTCTGCGAGTCTCGGCCGCGCGCTCAAACGGGGATAACCACGTCATAGTTACCGTCGTCGAGACAACGGTTATCCTTATCGAGATTAGCTGATTTATCTCGGCATTGGAAGCTGCACCGACTTATTAGGAGATCTATAATGCAGAGGCGCGCATAGCTACGAGCCGCGCCGCGGTGCACCGAGCGCGGCCCCTCTCTTTCTCCGGCAATGCAGTACGCTGCTACTCTTTCGCCGCGAAATCGATAAATTATGCATTCAATTATTCATGCCGGTCGCCATAATCGTGCACGGTGGTTGACAAGATCCTGGCACGCTTTACAAACCTCCAGGCTCTCCGCGTTTCTTTCCTAGTCCAAGGTAAGTTCCGTTTACTGGGCAAGTTTCGAGTTATTCGTTGCTAATGTTCTTTATATTTTTTACATTTATTATAATAATATTAACGCGATCTACGTTACATTATAATACCTCCTTTAGTTAATTTCAAAGTGCAGAAAAGCTTAGGACATTATTCTTTTATCAATCCTGAAAATAAATGTCTTTTCACTGTTGTAAGATAAAAATGGTTTACTGATGGAAAATAGAGAAACAATTAAATTCGTGTTCCTTTAATATGCGACACTTTCCAATCAAATATTACATAATACAGTCTACAGTCTAGAAAGTAGTAGAACATTCCAAAAGTATAGTCGAAGAATTCGGTTATGGTTCCATAGGGTAGAGTTTGGTTGAGAGTTCCTTAAAATCTTAAGACGATATCCTATAATGATCGTTACAAGTAGATTACGCTACGCGTTTGAGTGGATGCTTATTCATCTCTGCACATTGCTTGTTCGAAAAGCGCAGCATTGAAATCTCCGGATTCGTGATCGCAAAAATAGAGATACTCTCTGCGCTCGGGATTTCGTTACCGAGCCTCATGTTCGCATTCCAATTTGTTAATCATGGAATCATTTTGCAGAGCTTGAAGCATGGTGAAACGTAGAAAAAGGGGAAGAGGATCAGACGAAATACAGGGGAATGAAAGGACCGAGAGCGAGAGAGAGAAGAGGAAGTGGTCGGTTGGTCGGTGTAGCGTAGGTGCATGCCTGCCTGCTGCATGCTGTCTTTGTTGCATTCAGGCCCAATGCGAGACTGGGAGAGGTTGTATAGTTCGGTTCGGCCGGTTTCGCGCTTGCTCGGTTTGGCTCGGCACTGTCACCGAGTTTCCAAGCGGGGATATACTTTCCCCACCATGTTGGAGATAGCGAAGGCGCTTGGGAATGACGAGAGTGGGGATCGCGCAAAGCTACGGCGGAAGGTTCAATTGTTGGTCAACCGTCGCGTGGAGTGGTAGCGCGTGATAAGGCTCGCACGATACCAGCGCGTGCCTTCGTTTCGCGATCGGTGTCCAGTCGGATATTGATGACACCGAGGTACGGTTGTATCGCCGTGTGCTAAGACGTGCGAAGCTGGATTCTCGTTATCGGAAATGCGTGCCTCTAATCGCGACAGTGACGTGGTGATTCGTTCGCCGTTGCGTTGTCGGCGTGAGTAGACGTAGGCCGTGTAAACGCAGTGACCGAAGCGGAAAACACCTTCCCTTTTTTTCTCTCTCTGTCTCGCCGCTTCCTTTCTAACGTTCGTTTGTGTACACGGATATTAAACACGAGCATCGGTAGCTGTGATCAAGCTGCGGAAGTGAAATTGTTCCGTAGTCTTTCATTCTCTGTGCGATTTGTACGAGACTTGTGTGATTTGACCATATCCACGATCGGACCACTGGAGTTCCAGATTATCGGAGCAACTTTACGTTACTTTCGTTCAGTTGACATATTGTTTAACCGGCAGCGGCCATGACGGCGGACAGGCTGTTCGAGACTACCAGCATCCCAGGGCATCTCGCTCCCACGCCCCAGAGACTAGAGAAGCTTCTCTCGAAACAGACCCTCGAGGAGCTGTACGAGGTCGAAGAACAACCTTTCGCACGGTGAGTGCAGTCTCGCTTACGGTAATCAGCGAAATGTACATCAGGAAGTACCATGATTATAAATGTGTTCATACATATACTATTGTACCCATTTTAACGTAAATATTGACTGATGAAGTTTAAACATATTAAAATTCGAATATATTAGTCCCATAATAGTACATATATACTTTCATGTTATCTTTAACTATTAAATTTAATGAGTCTTAAGACAGATGGGATCCGCAGGTATCGTAAAGTATACAAATTCTCTTGATCTTGCTTTTACTCTCACGTTAAAATACCTGATAATTTTTTAAACGACTTTCGTCCATTACCTACTAGCTACATGAACATTCAACATACACGTCCGCGTCTCTTTCGATTAAAGTCTGTGTGTAACGAAGTAACGAGGTTACCGCGTCTGTATGCTTTCGACTCGGGATAGCGCTGCGCGTTCTTCCTACGACCTCGCGAGGTCGCAGAACCATCACACGCTCTGTGCTCCGTTAATTAAAATGGTTTACTTCTCTCTCTCTCTCTCTTTCCGCTCGCGTCCTTTACGTCTCGATTGCCTACCGTGTCGAATCGCTTTCTTCCAGAGTAGGTAATCTTTCATTCTTCCTACTACTTACGGTCGCCGTATCGTGCTGTGGTCCGAAACGAAGAATAGACGAAGCGTAAAAATGTTCTAGACAAGATTCGAGCCGTTAAACAAAAAATGTTCCAGTAGAAGAATGTCCTGGTAGGGCCCAGGGATTCCCTTAACTCGGTTCCGGACCCTCTGGAGAAAGAAAGTGCCCCTACCGCGAGAGATCGAGGTCGAGACTTCGCGCGGCGATACTCTTTCACGACCTCTGTCTACAAGCCTATCTTCGTCTTTTTCTCTCGCCCGCAAGAATTTCGTTTCTTCTTTGACAAAGAACAAGAAAGCGAAGCATGAAAGAGAGAATGTGTACCGTGAACAGCACGATACGGCCCCCAAAAGTGAGCAAGGTCGAGGACCATCTGCGAAGATGCTTCTCCGAATGTCCTGAATGACTCCTCAATCGTAAGAAATCGTAAGCCGAAGAGAAATTCTCGAATCGGGTCGCGCGCCGCCATTCGTACGCAAGCGACACAGTCAATTCATTTCTAATATTAATCGCTGCAGAAATATTAACTACTGCAATCCTTTTTTTATGTTCCATATCAGTTCTTATTGTTTTATTACTTGTTCCAGAAGATACTTTATCACATACACAGTGTATGATTACCTGTGTATCCCATAGATGTACATGTAACATGTATACAATCTTTTAAATCAATCACTTTCAATTCGCTTGTTCTTTTTTATCAATATGTACATACATATTGCTGGCTTTTTATCATGTTGTCAAACAAGCAAGAAAATAGACTGGAAGAATAACGTAAAGGTTAATATTGTATTGTACATATTATTTGGCTACAAAGTAGCGATAGAACTAAGAGATTACTAAGCAACAGCGAGCCGTAGATTAACTACTATCGCGATATTTCAACGGTCGCCAAGGCCGGGAGGTTTTTCAAAATCGCGCAACGTCGAGGCACGTGTGCGTGCGGCGCATATCGGTGTTCTGAAATTGTTGTTTCGGAGCAATTAATCACGAAGGACACGTGCTCCGGATTCCATCGCGAAAGGAAAAGTTTCTTGTCGCAACGCGCGTGCACGCAAATACCTACATGCGCGACTACAACGTAATCTTTCACGCTAAGGATATGTAGTACATATTTTTTATATTGAGGATGCAAGAGGCGCTGTCATTTACTGTGATAAAATTTACCGGAAAGTCTCGAGATGCAATGATTATCGTTACGAGCGATCACGCATTCATCCTCGATTTGCTCCAGTGCCGTTTCCATTCGCGGTCCTTTTGTTTGATGATCACTGGAAGTAGTGACTATTGCAAACGATATTCTCGTTGCAGATCAACGGTAATCTAGGCCACCTTGTTTGTTGTCATTATACGTTATCAAAATGGTTCTCGCTGTTTGCACCTTAATCTTCTGCACATATCGATTGCAGACATTGTGAAAGAATGTGTCCGTTCTTCCGACAAGATAAACTCTTGATAAATTGCGAAAATGCAGTTTGCATTTACCTACTGACACGGTTTTGTTTCAAAAGTGTATATACTTAAATCATTAGATTTTGGCCCCACGTACACATAAAAAAGGACGATAAGTATTTACCTATATTTGTTGAGGTCAAAAGACAATGAATTAGGTATACATATTTCTATCGACTACTGGTATCGCGTAGAGATGCGCTCCAAATCAATATTAGCATTTTTATTCATCCATAGTTCGCGATAAAATCTTATGATCGATATATTTCTCAAAGGTGTGAACTATCGCGTAGACTTATGCAGCCGTCAATTGAAATCGTCGGTCGTTAGCTGTTATCTGCCAATGCGAAATAACAGCTGCGTACTAAACACCTGCCCCGTTCAAGATTTAAGCCGCGTGCAACACTCTCGTCTCATATTGAAAGAACGGAGACTGAGAACCTGACGTTGCCACGTATAACTCGCTCCATGCCATTTTGTTTCAAATGAGAACTAATTTGAAACAGGATACATCAAATACAAAATTTGCGTTCGTATTTCATTATTTTTATTAATTCTATTCACGGTACCTAACTGTAAAAAATATATTGTTAATTGTGCGCAGTTATGTGCGATTCGAGGAAAATTGACTTTTAGATTGTTTAATCAGCAGCGGTTAATCCGCAACCTCGATATAAACTCTGATGTATCATTAAGGAAAGGAATGCAAACAACCGGCGCGATTCTTTGAAACAGACTTAATTGTGCAATATTCCAAAGAGAGAATTACGTACGCTATGTCCGATTTCTATGCGCGGTTTCCACGATCTTTTCTGCATTGCAGGATTAAGCATAATCAATCTATCGTTTGAAAAAAGTGATTGATTATAAAGAGAAGAGGGGTCGAGCCAATCGAGTTTATGCCATCGCGTCTGGAACGTTCAGTTGCCACGATCGTGCCATAAGCACTCGTAAGAAAGGCTCTCGATATAAATATTATGGCTGTATCGGCCCGTGGATTATTACTCGTGAATGTAAATAAATTGGAGCGATTGCGCACTGTTTCGTTACTACCAATTAAGAGATCTTGCCCACGTAATAAATGCTTATTCTTGATATATGCTGGCGCTTATAGTGTCTACTACAACATTTTGCCTCATCGATGTTTGATCGTTATTTGGATCCATCATAATCGTTAGCATTTAACGTTGGATCAATTTTGCTCTGCATCATTTGCAAAACGTTACAGATTTTTATTCTCAAAGAATAATTTGAACACCGGCGAAATAAGTTTAAAACAAAGAAAGATTATTTTTCCTATCTCTTAACGACACGCTTCCGAACACGTTTATTGACGTAGATCATAGCGAAGGTCAATTACTTCAAACTTTTTCTCGTTCTCGTGGTGACTCACTTTACAACTGTTACCAATTCGTTTGAATAGACACAATATACATATGTAGAAACATATATATACGCGTTTTGTTGTTACCTGACGTTATATGAGATTCCAGGGATATTTTGACGCAACTAAAACATGTTTCGAATTTTCTAAAATCGTAAACTATTTGCATGGAGCTTTAATGAATCATGAGTGTAATGTATTTCTCTATATAAATATTTCGTTCTCTTGATTGGGGGAGATGTAATTTTGTAATGCGTTGTAGTTTGAGGAACAAATAATTCGTTCCTGAAACATGATTCAGTTAACAAGCATATCTCACTCATATGCCCGTAAATGGTCTGAACGATATCTTATTTTAAATATCATTATCTGTTAAGACTACCAGATAAAACACTGCACCGATAAGTTGTGGGTGGATACAATGAATTCCTGGATTGTCGCAGTGTTATTGCGTTGGTACATGTATGCTTAAATCGTGTATTCAAAAAACAGCATTTCATACGTATCTATTATGTAAGGAGAATGATTAAACGATCATAGAATGAAAAAAGTAGTAATAAAAATTTCCACGTGGGAAAATATTTAGCTGCATTGGAATGGCAGTTCATGTTTTGGCTATCACAGCGGATCTGATCGATAGAAAGATATTTCGTAGATCTGCAGGAGCGGGCAGTCGCTTTTTATGGTATCGGGTCGCGTCTTAGAATACTCGGAGACAAGTGGGGATCGTGCAAAGCAGAGAGAGCGAGAGAGTTTAGCGTGGGTTGAAAATAGCTTGTGGCCGGACTGAGAATGCAGAGACCGTCCGCTATGCACTTGCGACTCGATATTTATACCCTTATAATAGGCAGATACGTTACAATGTATCTTCGCCTCTGCCAACCGAACGCGCTCACCAACAATTTACTTGAAACTATGGGTAAACTTTTCGGGTTTATCGATGTTCGTTCATAAATTATACTATTACTGTAACTCGGATGGGGAGAAACAAACAATAAGTTCCAATAAACAATCTACACTTTCTCTTAATAAATGTTAAGTACGAAATAGTTTTTAATGCAAAAAAATTGCTACGGAATATTATGAAATACTATTCCTTTTTTCTTACTGAATTTGGCAAATAAGTATCGCCCGAAATGTACGTGTGCGGACGAAGTACAATGAATTGGGTGCATACTTAATAGGGAACGGCCTTTATTCCTTTCACTTTGCATTTGAGTTCTGAAAATGGAATTGAACGCGAAACTTGAATGGCGATAACGGTAACGTTGAAAAAAGCGAATCGCAAAGGAAAATCTGAGCGGCAAATAGTCGGATTACATTCACAGAGAACGCTCCGATTGGAGCAGACGAGGTAACGCGACAGAAACGGGCATGCCATCTGGAAAGTAACGGTAACGGCACCTGCAATTAGTGCGACAGCCTGGCTGCCTACTTGTTCGCGATCCGGTCGTCGATGACCTTCCATCGAAGGGGGGAAAACAAGATCTCTGGGCGCATCGCGCTGGATCTCCTAGCAAAAGGATTCCGCTCACATCCGGTTTCGGTTT